AGGAGTCTGAGTTCTTTGAACTGTGGTTTGAAGCCAGGCCAGGCAGAGACTCTTATCTCCAGTTAACCAGTGAAAAGTCAGAAGTGGAAGTGTGGCCCAAATGGTAAAGTGACAGCTGTGAGATTGAAAGGCCCTGAGTCCAAGTCCCCTCAAAACAAAGTTTGCTTTGTTTCTCCCGGTTATGCTTTCCCTCCATAACCCTAACACCATAATAAGCAATTATGTGATTACTGGGGTCCTTTTTGGTTATTAGCTTATATTATTATGGAGGGTTCATTGTTGCATTTCCACACATGTTCACAGTGCATTCCAGTCCATCTCAGCCCCTCTATTACTTTCCCTTCTCTGCTTCCTCCTTTCCCAAAACAATTGCAACAAGTTTCATTGTTCTATTGTCATAATTGCAAACAATCTATTTCAACAGTGTTCAATCTCCCTGTTGGCTCAACCTTCTCCTCCTAGTAACCCCCACACAAAGCTCCCCCCCCCAGCCTCCATTGATCAATAGCTTTCATTGAAGTTCTCTATGTTGGTTTCATATATATACATACATGCATATATATATATATATATATATTTCACTGTCTCACAAAATCACTATCATTCTTTTTCCCTTCCTCCTTTCCTTTCTTCTCCTAAGTATACTTTTCAAGGTTCCAGCTTTCCATAATAAAGGCCCTATAAGGCTGGAGAGCTTGTATAGTTTCGCTCTTTTCTGTGTTCCTAGAGCTTAGGTGTCCAGTTCCTAGAAGGCTCTTGTAAAACAACAGTTGGATGAGTAAATGGAAGAGCTAGCTCCTCACTGTAAGGTCTGCACAGGGACACCTCCCTGCTTCTTGGCTAAGTATCTGCCCAGTATCTGTTACCTAGGTAACTGGCAGACCTGGAAGCAGTCACCTGCTAGGTCACATCCTGGGCCACCTCTGGTCACATGCCTCCCATTTAACCTTAGGAGGGTCCCAGACTCTGAGAGGTCACATTCAGATCCAGTGTGGTCACACCTTTCCCCCACCTGGCCATACCTCTTCCTGTCCCTGGCCTAGATAAGTCTTGGCCCAGGGTGGTTCACCCCCTTTTCCTTTCCAGCCATGCCTCTCCACCATGCATGGTGGGAGCAGCAACTCGGTCAATAAACTTCTCCTGCCTGAATAGCACGTGGTGTTTTCTTCATCAGCTACCTATGAAACCTACCTATTTAGTATACTTTTCACTCACTTCCCCCACCCTCTGCTGGGGGGGGGGGTTCACTTCCCAAGGCCTCTCCCCTCTCTCTCCAGCCCTGGGCCTCTGCCCTCTGAAGCATATGACCCCTCATGGGGCAGAAGTGGGAAGACTTAGCCTCAGGCACCCTGGCTTTGCAGGGAGTGGAGGTTCACTTGCCATAGAGGCCTTGAAGCGTGACCACGGACTGTCAGTGCAGACATTGACAGAGGGAGAGGCTGCTTCAAGCTATGCAGGAAGCTCAGCGGGGAGAATCACTGCGTGCCAATGGGTGGAGAGGGTGGTAAGCCTTGTTGAATGACGTAGTGAAACGGGAAGTAGAGAGGTCATGACTTGTGTGTGTGTACTTGTGTGACTTGGTAGAGGGGCTTGAACTTAGGACCTGGATACTGTTCCTTAGTAGTTTTTTTTTTTTTTTTGTTTTTGGGTGAACTCTGGGCCTGGGCGCTGTCCCTCAGCTCTTCAGCTCAAGGCTAGCGCTCTACCACTTGAGCCACAGCGCCACTTCCAGCTTTTTTCTTTTGCTTATGTGGTGCTGAGGAATCGAACCCAGGGCCTCATGCATGCAAGGCAAGCGCTCTACCACTGAGCCTTCCCAGCCCCTTGGTTTGTTTTTTTTGTTTGTTTTTTAATTTCAGGTTAGCATTCTATCACTTGAGCCACAGCTCTGCTTCTAGCTTTATTTTTTGGTCTGCTCGGGGGCCTGAACTCTGGGCCTGGGCACTGTCCCTCAGCTCTTCAGCTCAAGGCTAGCGTTCTACCACTTGAGCCACAGCACCAATTCCAGTTTTCTGGTGACTTATTGAGATAAGAGTCTCATGGACTTTTCTGCCTGGGCTGGCTTTGAATAGTTGATTCTCAGATCTCAGCCTCCTGAGTAGCTAGGATTACAGGCGTGAGCCACCGGTGCCCAGCTTTTGTTTCCTTTCTTGTTTGATTTTTTTTTTGCCAGTCCTGGGGCTTGAACTCAGGGCCTGGGCACTGTCCCTGAGCTTCTTTTGCTCAAGGATAACACTCTACCACTTGAGCCACAGCACCACTTCTGGCCTTTTCTGTTTATGTGGTACTGAGGAATTGAACCCAGGGCTTCATGCATGCTGGCACTCTACCACTAAGCCACATACATTCCCAGCCCTCTTGTTTGATTTTATTTTATGTTTTTGTGTGCCCAGGAAGGGATCACGGCTTTACACATGCTTTTAACACTGAGCTGCCCCCTCCCCTTCCAGGCCCTTTGCTTTTCCGATAAACTTATGTTTTGAACTATCTTCCTAGCAAAATTGTATGGGAACAGATCAGAAAAGTATAACCACCTATTTTACTCTTTGAGATAAGTTCTCATTATTTGTTGGACTTCAACTCTTTTGCTCCATCCTCTTGAAATACAAATGACTAATAGATAACCTGAAGTAATGTCCAACATTCCTAGTCATAAAAGAAATGAAAATTAGCCAGGTGCTGATCACTATATTCCATTTTTAAGCCAACCATCAAAAAGCAGGTCTGGAGGTATAGATCAAGTGGTAGAGCACCAGCTGAGCAAGTATGAGGGTCTCATTTCAAACACAAGTTCCATCAACCCCCCCTGCATAAAGCAAACAAAACCATATAATAAGATTCCATCTTATTGCAATCAGAATGGCTGTCATCAAGAAACAATGGCAGGGGTTGGGAAGTTGGCTCAGTGGTAGAGTGCTTGCCTTGCATGCCTGAGGCCCTGAGTTCGATTCCTTAGCACCACATAAGCAAAAAGAAAAAAGCCGAAGTGGGGCTGTGGCTCAAGTGGTAGAGCACTAGTCTTGAGCTGAAGAGGTGAGGGACAGTGCCCAGGCCCAGAGTTCAGACTCCATGACCGGACCCAAAAAGAAAGAAAGAAACAATGGCAGCTGGGTGCCGCGCTGGTGGCTCACATCTGAATCCTAGCTACTCAGGAGGCTGAGATCTGAGAATCACGGTTCAAAGCCAGCCCAGGCAGGAAAGTCTGTGAGATTCTTATCTGCAATAAACTACTAGAAAACCAGAAGTGGCACTGTTGCTCAAGCGGTAGAGTGCTCGCCTTGAGCTGAAGAGCTGAGGGACAGTGCCCAGGCCCAGAGTTCAAGCCCCTAGACGGACAAAAAAAAAAAAGAAAAAAGAAAGAAAACAATGGCAGCAAATGCTGGCAAGGATGAGGAAGGGGGTTAGAAACCCTTATTCACTGTTGGTGAGAATGTAACTAGTACCACCACTATAGAAATCAGTGTAGAAGTTCTCAAAAACAAGCAAGCAAACAAACAAAAACCCCTAAAAGCAGACCTACTAGTGACCCTTCCAAACCACTTGTTAACATATTTCTGAAGGAAAATAAACCAATATACCCTGTTTATGGTAATTCTGTTCACAGTACCCAACGGTGGAATCAGCTGAGGTGTCTAAAAACCAATGGATGGATTAAGGAAATATGGTGTGTGTATATATATATATATATATGTATGTATACATATATGTATATACATACATACATACTGTGAAATATTATTTAGTTAAGAAAAAATAAAGACAATGCTGGTGGCTCATGTTTGTAATTCTAGCTACTCAGGAAACTGAAATCTGAGGATCATAGTTTGAAGCCAGCCCAGGCAGAAAGGTCTGAAAGCCTCTTATCTCCAATTAGCCATCAAAAAAGCTGGAAGTAGAGCTGTGCCTCAAGTGCCATCAGCCTTGAGTGAAAAAGCTAAAAGACAGTGTCAAGATTCTGCCCAATACCAGCACCAAAACACAAAAACAAAGGCTCAGAGGGCTGGGAATGTGACTTAGTGGTAGAGTGCTTTCCTAGCATGCATGAAGCCCTGGCTTTGATTCCTTGGTACCACATAAACAGAAAAGGCCAGAAGTGGTGCTGTGGTTCTCAAGTGGTAGAGTGCTAGCCTTGAGCAAAAAGAGCTCAGGGACAGTGCCCAGGCCCTGAGTTCAAGCCCCAGGACTGGCAAAAAAAAAAAAAAGGTTCAGAGAAGTTAAGGAAATTGTCTGAGGTTATACAAGTCACAAATGGCACGCCATTGTGGTACAGCAGAACCAGCAAGCCAGTTGGAAGCTGCTGCTGTGTGAATTGGGTGGCACCCAGGGCAGGTCTAGTGCAGTGGCTGAGGAAGGAGGGGAATTTGAGGGAGATCATGATAGAATTTGGGGAGACTTGGTGTCGACCTAAGTGTAGAGGCTAAGGGGAAGGTGGCAGGATGCAAGGGCATGTGGGACATGTGGGGACCTGGAGAAAGGACAGTACACTGGGTGTTGACAGGCAGGAAGGAGACTTCTTGCCCAGAGACCCAGTAAGGAGCCAGGCCAGCCTGTGGGTGTTGATAAACTCATTTGGAACCAGGTAGGAGGCCAAAGCCAGGTGTAGGGCACCCATAGGTTGAGGCTAGAGGAGGGGAGGGACAATTGGAAGAGAACACTGTGTGGACACAGGAACAGATGGAATTGCTCCCCAGAGCCCAGTGCACTTGAGAGACCATGAGGAGGAGATGTAGGCTTCGGGGAGCAGGGGCTGGAGACACGAAGGGGAGGTAATGCTGACACACTCAGCACAGATCAAGAGGTGCTGGTCAGAGGATGAGGAGGCAACTTTCTCCTCCCAGCCATGGAGTGTGAGTTCACTGCACTTCACACTGCATTTCAGGCAAGACTGAACTTGATGCTTGGTTACCCCTGCCCAATGAGCCAGAGACAGTTTTTTTTTTTTAACCTTTTAATAAAATTAACAAATAAATATTCTAAACCATGGAGGCTACAGGGACAAAGAGTAGAAATTAAAGACAGTCTTCTTACTCAGAACCTCCCTGGAGGGAAGCAGAGACTCTAGGCTGGTATGGAGCTAGACTGCTGGCCTGGGGGAGGGGAGTGATGGTGGAAGGGGTGTGGTCTGGGCTCCTGCAACCTGCCCCTCTCAGTGTGGCAAAAGAAAAGGAGGGGTTGGTCAAAGAACAAAAGTCCCTACAAGAGGTATCCCAGTGGCCCACAGGAGTGAAGGGGTAAAGGGAAAGCTAAGCTATAAAATGGGTGTGGAAGGGAGAGTGGTGGCTATACGAGGACTCTGAAGCAGTGGGTTGGTGGGGTGGGGGATAGATGGGCTTCAGGTGGCTCTTGGTCCATGGCTGCTCACTCTCGGACATAGACCCTGGTGCACACAACGTCGTTTGCTGTCATGGTCTGGAAGGACAGAAGTAGTTGTTAGCCTGCTAGGCACGTGGACTTGAGGGAGATATGGCTCTTGACTTCAGGGGAGAAGAGTTGCATCGAGGCATACAGCTTGGACTCCAAGTCCAAACAGGAAGGAACTGGGCTTTGTGGTAGAGTGCTTGCCTAGCATGCATGAAGCCCTGGTACCTCAGCACCACATAAACAGGAAAAGCCAGAAGTGGCACTGTAGTTCAAGTGGTAGAATGCCAACCTTGAGGAAATGAAGCTCAGGGACAGTGCTCAGGCCCTGAGTTCAAGCTCCAGGACTGGCAAAAACAAACAAACAAACAAACAAACAAAAAACCCAAACCAAAACAAACAAACACCAACAAAAAGCAACAAAAACAAGAAGAAACTGGTCCAAGAATGTCCAAGTATCATTGGTAGGAGACAGCAATCAAGTAGAAGCCCACTCTTTTGGCCGGGCCAAGGATGTCTCCCAGTGTGTGTCTGAGCCACACAAAAAGGACCCCATTTCTTTTCTTTTGTTGTATTTTTAGTGTTACTAGGGATTGAACTCTGGGCTTTGCATTTACTAGGCTAATGTTTTCCCAATGGAGCCAGTCCTTACAGTTTTCAGATAGGGGCTCATGCTTTTCTCTGGGATAGCCTCAGATCTCAATCCTCCTATCTCCATTTTTGCCCCCCAGTCCTGGGGCTTGAACTCAGAGTCTGGGCACTGTCTCTGAGCTTCTTTTGCTCAAGGCTAGCACTCTACCACTTGAGCCAGTGTGCCACTGCTGGCTTTCTTGTTTATGTAGTACTGAGGACTCGAACCCAGGGCTTCATGCATGCTAGGCAAGCACTCTACCACTAAGCCACATTCCCAGCCCAGGGACACCATTTCTAATTCACACTGTATGGGAGATGGATGGCTTAGTCTTATCTGGTTGGCTGATCAGGGGGAAGGGAAGACCAGCCACAGCTGCTCTTGAGTCTCCTGCACCCTGGATCCTCCCAGATAAACCGCAAAGGTAGCAGAGATTTGCTAGTGGCTAGGAATGGGTAGGACTCACCAGGATCAGCTCTCCATCATTGGTCAGTTCTCTGGTCCAGGAGGTCTTGGGGCCCTCTCCCTTCAGAAGTCTCTGCTCACAGACCATTTTGTTCTCACTCTCCCATTTCACCAGGCTCTATAAGGGAGAGGGGGCCAGGTGAGCTGAAACCATCATGGAGGCCAAGCAAATGAGTGGGATAAGGAACAGACAGGTGCTATTGCTCAGGGACTTCATAGGACATAGAGAAAATCATGTAGGAAAGCTGGATGAACAGTGGCATGTGGGAGGCAGGGTAGTAGATGTTAGGACCTGGAGGGAAGCTTCCTGGCACTCACCTTGCAGGGTCTCCCATCCACAGTCTGCTCCTCAAACTCCTCCCCAATCTTGAAGTTAATCTCTGTGGTACGCACAGCAGTAGAGGTTTTGATGTAGAAAGTGTCCCCTTCCTGCTTGATCTCCACTGCTGGCTTGGATGCTGCAGCCACGGCGATCTTCCTCAACATGATGTTCACCCCTATGGGGAAAGGAGGGGACACCTGTCTCACACTCTGCCTATGAGATAGCTTGAATAGGCCTACCTGTGCTGCCATTGGCAGCAGCAAAGAACCTAGAATGAGATACAGGTGTGAAAGGTTTAGGGAGGAGGGGCACAGAGTCCTGTCCCCTGGAAGTCCTGTTCCTGACTATGGTCCCGCCTCTGATGAATCATCAGATGGCTAGGGTTTAAGCCCAGCTCCTCACCCCCAGAATTCTCAGGGACATCCCCCATCCCCCCCAACAAAGATTCTGCTTCAGGCTCATCATGGCTCCTCTTACCTCAGTTTAGGCTTTCCTCTATCCTGGCTCGAGAAGTTTAATCACTAGGTCCTTCCTTATGCCCATGTGCAGGGCACACCTGGAAAGTAGAGGCTAATTCCTTCTCTGTCCTAGCTACTCACCCTCTCTGGTGCTAGGCAGGTGTTCATTTCCCAATCTCCACCCATCCCCTCAAGCAAGGAGCAGGATTCTCAACAGAGAAAGAGATAAGTAGTTGTTTCTTTCTCTCTCTCTCCCTCTCTCTTTTAATTTTTGTTGGTCTTGGGGCTTGAACTCTGGGCCTCCGTGCTATCCTTCAGCCCTTCAGCTCAAGGCGAGTGCTCTACCACTTGAGCCACACCGCCACTTCCAGTTTTCAGTGGTTTATTGGAGATAAGAGTCTCATAGACTTTCTTGTCTGGGCTGGCTTTGAACCGAGATCCTCAGATCTCAGCCTCCTGAATAGCTAGGATTATAGGTGTGAGCCACCCACGCCTGGCTCATGCTTGTAATCCTAGCTACTCAGGAGGCTGAGATCTGAGAATCGTGGTTCAAAGCCAGACCAATCAGGAAAGTCTGTGAGATTCTTTTTTTTTTTTTTGGGGGGGGTCCGGTCGTGGGGCCTGAACTCTGGGCCTGGGCACTGTCCCTCAGCTCTTCTGCTGCTAGCACTCCACCACTTGAGCTACAGTGCCACTTCCGACTTTTTTCTATTTGCTTATGTGGTGCTGAGGAATCGAACCCAGGGCCTCATGCATGCAAAGCAAGCGCTCTACCACTGAGCCACCTTCCCAGCCCCTGTGAGATTCTTATATCCAGTTAATCATCAGAAAACCAGAAGTGGCACTGTGGCTCAAGTGATAAGAGTGTTAGTCTTGAGCTGAAGAGCTCAGGGAGAGTGACCAGGCCCAGAGTTCAAGCCCCATGACCGACCACAAAAAAAAAAAAAGAGAGAGAGAGCTGGGAATGTGGCTTAGTGGTAGAGTGCTTGCCTAGCATGCATGAAGCCCTGGGTTTGGTTCTCTCAGTACCACGTAAACAGAAAAGGCTGGAAGTGGTGCTGTGGTTAAGTGGTAGAGTGCTAACCTTGAGCAAAAGCAGCTCAGGGACAATGCCCAGATCCCGAGTTCAAGCCCCAGGGCTGCTCCCCCCCCCCAAAAAAAAAGTGAGAAAGAGCTGGCAGCTGAGATCTGAGGATTGTGGTTCGAAGCTAGCCTCAGCATAAAAGTCTGTTAAGACTTTTTTTTTTTTTTTTTGTCAGTCATGGAGCTTGAGTTCAGGGCCTGGGCATTGTCCCTGAGCTCTTTTGCTCAATGCTAGCATTCTATACTTTAAAGCCACAACTCCATTCTGGTTTTTGAGTGGTTAGCAGGAGATAAAAGTCTCATGGGGACTTTTCTGCCTGGGCTGACTTTGAACCGCGATCCTTAGATCTCAGCCTCCTGAGTAGCTAGGATTACAGGTGTGAGCACCAGTGCAGGGCTGTGAAACTCATCTACAAGTGACTACTCCAAAACCAACTCAAAGTGGACGAGGGCTAGGAACAGTGCCCAGGCCCTGAGTTCAAGCTCCATGACCACTACCACCACCAACAAAAGTGAAAAAGAAAGAAAAAGTTCACACTATGGCTCACCAGCCCATCTAGAAGGTTCTTATGCCCCTCTCCTTCCTTCCTTCCTTCCCTTCTTCCTTTTTCCCTTCCTTCCTTCCTTCCTTCTCTCTCTCTTTCTTTGAGATTTTTCTAAGCAGGGTTAGCTTTACATACATCAGGTAATAAGAACATTTCCTTCCTTTTGCATAGTATAATCCGTTCCCTTATTCTCTCTTATTCCCTCCCTCTCATCTTGCCCACGAGTTGCGTGTTCCACTCTCGTGTCCAGTGCAGCCAGTGGGCTCCGCTGCTGCACGCTTTCACCCATTTTCCATTGATTCTGTGCCCTCCCCCCACCCCTCTCTTTTCAAGGGAACTCTGTCCTGCCCTGAGAAGAGAGAAGGAACAGCCACTTCAATCAGCCTCTGTGGCTTCAGTCTCTGGATACCCCTGTGCCTTTTCCCAGCTTAGACCCCTTCTTTGCTTCCAGTTATGAAGAGTAGGCAAAAGGATTGGCATCTCTCTGCCAGGAAAAGCAAAAGGAAGATCTTCTGGCCAGCCAGGTTGTCTATGCCCCACCTCCCCAACCCTGGTACAATAAGAGAAGGAAGGAGGGTTAAGCTGGCTAACCTCCTGGACCTCCTGCAGGTCTGGGTTCCTAGAGGAACAAACCCTCATTTCCCTCAGCACCAAAGCAGAATCACCCTATTCCACACAGAAGGGAAAGGGAAGAAAGAAGTCTTGCCACTCAGGAGCCCAGGAATCCCAGCTCTAGGCTGCTGATCTAAGTCCAGGGAGAAATACCTGAGATCTCCAAGCCCATTGGATTTGTTAGGAGACATACTTCACCATATCTTCTTGGATAAAGAAGCCACTTCACTCTTCCTACCTGGAAAGTCCATCTTGTTATCTAACAACCATATTTCCAGTAATAGGAACAGAAAGATGCAGTGTGATTCATGGCTCTCACACCAGAGGGAATAAATACCCCCCATTACTGAGCACTCCCCACCAGATGGGACCCAGGAATAGGATTAGGGGAAAGAAGGGACTGAGGTGTCTGCAGAGGCAAGGCTGGGTTCAGAGAACACATCTTCTAGCCAGTCCCTGGTGCCTGTGGAGCTGGAGGCCTGGCTCAGAGGCTTTGGCTGACTCAGGACAGTGTTTATCTACTGGGTCTGTTTTCAATCTGCCCCTTAGCAGGGCATGGGGAGGCACGTGGCTCTGAGAGACCCTGCAGAGAGAACAAACAGCCTGAAGACAGAAAGTGGAGTTGGCTCTTACTCTCCAGCTGGGGTCTGGGGGTGTGCCAGGCCACCACCTCAGGGCAGAATCCAGAACAGCTGGAAAAGGGAGTGGCAATAGACTTCCTAAAAGGAAAATTTTCTACCCTTTCATCTCTTTTTTCAGCAAGGGCAGAGCAAGGAAGATTCACATGATTGTAAGAAGTAATGTGGTTAGATGACAGGTAAAACAAGCAAAGACCAAAATCCCTGCTCCCTCACTGCACTCTTTTTAGGTCCAGACTTATTCTACAGACCCCTTATTTTTCCAAGCACACACACACACAAAGGCATGCATACACTCATGCACAAGTGTGCTCAGCCATAGTTAGGCTTGGGCTGTTCCCATTTGTTGAGGTCTATAACCATTTCTTCCCAAATGTCTCCCCAGTCACTAAATCCTGGCACTTTCCTCTTCACCAGACCCTCTAGCCCAGTTCCACCCCAGGAGGCAGCAATAGGTGGGCCAAGAAAGTTAGAAGCACAAAAGGTAATCTGGATGGATTTAGTGCCCCCCCTCTACCCCCGCCCCATCCCCACACACAACCACTGGGCTGCAGCTGGTCTTTGGCTGTAAAGGGAGGCAGGAACCCAGGCTTTTGGAAATTAAAGAATTGGGGTTTCACACAAAGACATTTGTTGAAATCCAAGAAAGTGATAATTATCCAGAGTGACTTTAGGACTCTGGAGCTGCTTGCAGTAGGAAAATATTTGTCTCACAAATGGGGGGAAGGGGGGGTGAGAAGAAAATGGAAAGTGCAGGAGAGGGAAGGAGCGGGCCCAGGGGATGTTTCAGCTTTGGACCACCTGGTGGGGAGACCTGGGCTAGAGGGTAAAGACCCCGTCCCTGGGATTAGGCTACTGCTGGGGGAATAGGAAGAAAGTTGGAATGTCTCCTAAGGGATCAGCCAAGGAAACACCTAGGTTCATGGCGTGGATGTAGAAGCTTTCCCAGCAGCAGTGTCTAAACTGCAGAGAGCGCCAGGTGCCCTGATCAGCGGGTCCAGGCTCTGAGACGGGCCATCCTGCTCCTAAGACCAACCTCGTGCTTCTGCTTTCTACTTGATTCACAGGCTCTGAGTCGCCGCTAGAGCCGGCTCTGGTGGGCGCTCCATTGGAAAAATCAGATTTTAGGGGTCCAGCTCCAGTGTTTCGGGACCCAGACGTCCCGTCCATTTCTCTGTCTGTAGATACAGGCTCCGATACCCCCACCCCCTCACCCCGATGATTTGGTCTCGAGTTTCTTTCTTGTCCCTAACCTCCCCATCCCCAAGGATTCTAGCATCCCCTAGCCCCTCCTGGGCGCTCCAACCCCTCCTTACCCAGCTCTAAGAGCAATTCCTCGAACTGTTCGGATTTGAGGATTTTCCAGTTTCCAGAAAAGTTGGGCATAGTGGCGGTGTGGGTGGTGGTTCCCTTAGGTTCCTCGGCTAGAGCACTGGACACTGAGTCCCTTAGTCGAAAATTACTCTGCTGCTGCCTTTGCAGGATCTTGAGATTCAGGAACCAAGACACGTTGGAGGACAACCCCAAAATTGGCTTGGGCTCCCGCGCGGGCAGTTTTTATACCAGGAGCTGGCCCGCCCCGGCCCAGGAGCGGGGTGGCCCCGCCTCCCGCTCCGCCTCCGTACCCCACCTGGGGGTCTCCTCGGAGTCCCTCCAACCCAGTCTCTGGTTCTAGTCCTGTATGTGAGCCTAAGGGTCTCTGGGAGCCAAGACAGCCTTCTCTCATGCCAATGGGTGGCTGGGGAACCGGATAGGTCGCGCGCCCTCGAATTGCGCCTTTGGAGAGAGGAGGGGGCGGGCGCCAGGCCGGGGGCCCCGAGGCTGGATCTCACATCTTGC